CTTGGGGATTCTTCTTTATCATATTCTGTAGTTTCTTTTTTCTTGCTGTTTTCCCGTTTTAGTCCCAACAACACTGTATTAGTCAACTGCTCAGGAACCACCTGTAGGAACTTCTAACTGCATCCTCACTCACATCTACATAGCTGCTTCACCGATCAACCACAGCAACTGCATCACCCCTGACTCTTGAGAGTCTTCTTCCAGATGCAGATGGCACCATGGATCATGGTTCAAAGCATGGCCAAGTTTTTTTTTGTTTTTTTTTTTTTTGGGGGGGGGGTCCATTGTGGGGCCTGAACTCTGGGCCTGGGCGCTGTCCCTCAGCTCTTCAGCTCAAGGATAGCCGCTTGAGCCACAGCACCACTTCCGGCTTTTTTCTTTTTTCTTATGTGGTACTAAGGAATTGAACTCAGGGCCTCAGGCATGCAAGGCAAGCGCTCTACCACTGAGCCACCTTCCCAGCCCCGCATGGCCAAGTTTTTGATGCAGTTACAGATGTAATCCTTCCAGAATTGCTTGAGTGTCAATTCCAACAGCCTGGGAAGAAATCCTCAAGTAAGACTTAAAAACTTATAAATCCTTGATCCACTAATTGAATTAAGGAGGTAGTTTGGAAGGAGAAACATGGCCTCGATATTGGGAGACATCTTGATGGAAAAGCATCAAGAAAAGGAAGTATGACAGAGTGTTACCAAAAAACAAGTGAGATCATAAAAGGTATCATAAAAGGTATCCAAATAGTATTTCTCCATTCCATTGACATGGCAGTTCAGGAGGGCACAGGGAAGAGAAGCTGAATCATCCCAGAGCACCTACTCTCCTGTAGGCCACTGGGAGAGTTTGTTCTTACTGATATCACTGAAAGTCCAGGGCCTCGCTGTGCTCCACTTGTAGCCTGAAACATTGTCCCCAAGCAAGACTACTTCCCTAGCCTTAAAAACCTGACCATGGGCTGGGTAGGTGGCTCAATGGTAGAGTGCTTGCCTAACATGGGTGAGGCCTAGGTTCGATTCCTTAGCATTATCACATAAACAGAAAAATTCAGAAGTGGTGCTATAGCTCAAGTGGTAGAGTGATAGCCTTGAGCTGAAGAGCTGAGGGACAGTGTCAAGGCCCAAAGTTCAAGCCTCATGACAGACCAAAAAAACCCTGATTTTGACTTGGCCTCTTACAGATCAAAGTACTTTCAGGCATCCATTTCCAGAATAGTGAGGTTTTATCCATACTGAAGATTTGCTATAACAAGTAATTTCCCTCCACTCATCTAGTTTCCAAAAGTTCAGCTGCCTCACATCAGGCCTTACAGGTCTGTGAGGTCTCAGCACCCCCTGCCATTTCTTAAATCATTAAAACCACCCAGAACTAGCAGTAACTTCAACACTGAGGTTGGGACCAGACTTCTCTTTCAATAGGAAAAACAAACCTCTCATTTGGGCCATGAGTGTCATGGTGCTAAAAGGACATGCTTCTTCTGTGCTAGGTCATTAGAAAGTTCTCCACAGATGATGCAGGGACTTCTCAAAATCTTGTTAGTCTCATTGCCTCCAATGTAGCAGATCTCTTATTAGCTTTCATCACATTGTTCCTGTTCCTCAAGATTACAGCTATGGTAGAATGGAACATGCCTGACTGGTAAGAAATATTCATCACAAGTTTTCTATCTTTGTAATCCTGAGTCCTTTTAATTTCACTTCCATAGTAATCACTCAGTGTGACCTACTACTGTCAACATCAGAAGTGGATTTTGATAAGAAGTAATACAACCTGAGATTAAATTAAGCACAAGATAAAATGATGAAATCAGGAGACAAGATAAACACAAAACACAAGAGGTTGCTCTGGTACATCATGGCACACTGCTTTATAGTGAACTTTTCTTCAGAAGTAGAAGAACATGCGCTGAAATGACTATACAAAGTATTCTATGTATAAGAGATACATAAACCACTTACACCATTGTAATTAAGTACTATGTGCTAGTGCTATACATAATGGTATGTGCTTTATTTTTATATTTTTACAGGCAGAACAGGTTTCTTGGTACTGCTATCACCACAAACATGTCATATGTTATGTTAAAACATGACAGTTACTTTGTTGTCAGTCAGTAGTATGTGTGGTTCACTGTTGATCAAGACATAACAGAGCATACAACATTTGTATCTACCATCAACTATTAGCATGTGTTATTACTGTATTATTGTAAATTAACTCATTAAAGTACTTTTTTTTCATTAGAAAGCAAGATCTACAAACACCACAAAAATTCAAGGGTTCCTGAAGATGGAGAAAAACTTTATTAAAAAAAGTGGAGGGATGACAGGCAACAAAGTAAATATAGCCTTCTTTTAAAATTTTACTTAGAAGCAGCTGCTCTGTGTATAGAAATCAAAACTATATGATGCCCTATTCTAGTCATTTAGGTAAGCAAAATAGGCAATTATCCTCTTAAGTCAAGCAGATTAATTATTATCCTTACTACCCAGGAAGTCATTCTGTATTCTTTTCAGTCCAATATTCTATTCACAACAAACAATTTTACCTGTTAACTATAAATCCTAACAGAATCAATCAAAAATAATGGCCTAGGTCCTGTGCTACATGATCACAGTCAAAGCCAACCAAGCAAGAAAAATCCACTAGATTCCTTCTCTAAAAGAACATCAGAAAGGATGACTTGCTCAAATGGGAGAGTACCAACTAAGTCTGTCCTTGAAAAGAGAGTAGGTTTTAAAGACAGTTTTCAAATATAAAGGCTATTCCGTATATTTTATATCTCAGTACTAAAATAGTTCAGACAAAATTACTGAAACTGTTTGAACCTATTTCCAAGCAGAAAAGTGCCATCTCTTCCTTGAAGACATGATGAAGGCATTAAAAATACAAAGCAAACATAAAACTAGCACTGGGCCTCCCAAATATATACAAATACACACACACACACACACACACACACACACACACACACACACACACACACACACACACACTATAGCAGTGGTAGCTAAGCTACTATTAATGTTCTTTAAAAAACTACTCAGTACAACAACAACACAAAAATGAAAGCAAAAAAGAAGAAAATGCAGGCAGTAAATTAAGTGTCATTCTTTACAATTCTTTATTGTTTAAAAAAAGCGTAGCGGGTGCCAGTGGCTCACACCTGTAATCCTAGCTACTCAGGAGGCTGGGATCTGAGGATCACAGTTCAAAGCCAGCCCGGGCAGGAAAGTCCATGAGACTCTTAACTTCAATAAACCACTAGAAAACCAGAAGTGGCTCTGTGGCTCAAGTGGTAGCCTTATGCTGAAGAGCTGAGGGATAGCACCCAGGCCCAGAGTTCAAGCCCCACGACCAACCAAAAAAAAAAAAAGCATATGTTTAATAAACAATCTTTCCAATCTCAGGTGGATCAAGGCTCAGGCACATATGTACTAGAGCACAAAGTGAAACCCTGTCTCAAAAATAGCTATCATATATTTAGCAAATACATATCATATAAAATATATACTATATTATATATACTAAATATACAGTATAATATATAATACATAAAATATTACATATAAATCATATATAATATACAAAATACATACTAAATACAAAATAAATATATATTTAGTAAATATATGTTAGTGGCTAGAAATAATATGGACTTTACTTTCCCCAAGCCCACAAACATGCATTTTAACTCCTTTGCATCTCCAAAGCCCCCTTCTATACCACCCTACTTTCTTCCCATTTGCACTATGATATTTCTGGTGCTCATTTCTCAGGTGGATGATTGCAATTGCCTCTAACTGGTCACCAGGCTTGCAAGTTCACTTTGCTCCAATTCATCATCCAAACTGTGGCCTATTTGACAATTTCCTTATCTTTTGTCATGTTTCCTGAATTTTCTCAAAAGAATTTTCTGAATCAATCATGAAATGGTAAAATTCTGTCACTATATTTTTATATAAAAAATGGTATATTGAAGTCTGTAAAGAGTCCTACCTTCCTCTGGACCTTAAGGCACACTACTAGAAATTCCTGATTTACTAAATTAGTACAAAGTATTTATTATAAATACCAGCAAGTACCATGTGAATAGTGTTCATTTACTAGTTCTTTATATAAACTAAAAATATCTTTGCACAGGAAATCCAGAAAACATGAGTTCATAAAAATGTTTTCTCAATAAAATTTTTAAAAAATAATTAATTTAAAAATTGTTTCTACCCCCCCCCGAAAAAAATAACTCAATTAATTAATAGGCAAAGGAGCTAATTAGAGAATTCCCAGAAGTAAGAATGGACAATAAACACAACCATCAAGGAAATGCAAATCAAAACAACATTGAGATTCCATCTCACCCCAGTGAAGATTGGCCAGCACTGAGAATACAAAAGAATACAAATGCTGGCTCATGCCTATAATCCTAGATAGTAAGAAGGCTAAATCTGAAGATCACTTCGAAGCCAGCCAGAGCAAGGACATTCATAAGACTTTTATCTTCAATTAACTAGCAAAAGGCTGGGAATGGGGCTATGGCTCAAGTGGTAGAGTGCCAGCCTTGAGAAAAAAAGCTAAGGGACAGCATCCAGGTCCTGAATTCAAGCTCCAGTAGCAGCACGTGCACACACACACACACAAGCAGACACATGCATGTATGTTCATCTGTATACAATATTCTACAAAGAACAATCCAAAAAAGTCAAGTACTGTTATTCATTTCTTTATAAACATGAGCAGATTAAAGAGCAACAAAAGAAAGAAAAGTATGCTGATACTTTATAATTAAGCCAATAATTCCCTTGTTTTTCTCCTACTAGTAGAGGCTAATCATGATTTGTCAATCAGACATCAATCCAAAACTGAGATAAAATGATTTGTAGGTAACATTATACACCAACCAATATTCCATTTTCATATGCTGTCCATACAGATTAAACTACAAATAAGGCAGAAAATCAGCTATTTGTTCCCTATCTTACTAGAAAAATCTTGCCGAAAATACTTGCCTTTTCTTTTAATATGACATGTTCTTTTTTTCTCTTCCTCTTATCTTCCAATGGCCCTTCTTCAGTGTTTCATTTTAACAAATCTAAAAAGAATAGCATTTTAGCCGATCAGACAAGGCATTCTATTGACACACGAGGAAACTCTTATGGTTACTTCACATTTCCTTGATGAAAGTTTCAAAACAAGAAATAACTCTTTAAATCTAGAATAAGACCATAATTTCTAAGATCTTCCAAAATTTCAAAAACCACTATACCCATGGAAAGAGCATAAGGTAGGCACAAGAACAAATTTTATTATTAAAACATACTCAATAGCCAGGTGCCTGTGGTTTACATCTATTATCCTGGCTAGTCAGGAGGCTGAGATCTGGAGGAATGGTTCAAAGTCAGCAAGGGCAGAAAGGGCAGAAAAGTCTGTGAGACACTATCTCTAGTTAGCAGCAAAAAGCCAGAAGTGGAGCTGTAACTGAAATGGCACAGTGTTAACCTTAAGCAGAAAAGCTAAGAGATAGCATCTAAGTGCAGAGTTCAAGCCACAATAAGGAGTGAGGTGTGGCCTTGAGAAAGGGTCTATGAAACCACTGCATCTTGCTAGGAAGAAGGATGTCTCCTTTTCCTCTCTATTCTGAGCACTTGGAACACTTAAAAAAAAAATTAATGAACCCAATTTGGAAGAAGTAACAGTAGTGTCAAAGCCTGTAGAATTTATAAGCTTTACAGATCACAATAATGACAATGCGCCTCGTGAAGGGTAAAATGTGTTTGTGACTTTAAGTATCACTATCCCACAATACTGTGACAGTTATGTAATCACTTAATCTCAACAAATAAATATTTTTTAAAAATCAATGAGCCAGGTGCCTATGGCTCAGGCCTGTAATCCTAGCTACTTGGGAGATGGAGATCTGAGGATCCCAGTTCAAAGCCAGCCTGAGCAGGAAAGTCCGTGAGAATCTTATCTCCAATTAACCATCAGAAAACTGTTAGAGGCACTGTGGCTCAAGTGGTAGAGCACTAGCCTTGAGCTGAAGAACTGAGGGACAGCACCCAGGCCCAAAGTTCAAGCCCATGACCAACTTAAAAAAAAGACTATCCATTGCAAATGCTTAAAATATGTAAGTATAGTATAGCATTCTGATTAAGGGACCCTAAAGAAGTCAAGATTCCAGGGCTGGATCACAACTCTAACTTCAGACAAGTTACACTTTAGAGCTCTTGGCTTTGGTTCTCTCATCTATTAAGCAGATATAACAGATTTTAATAGGGATTTTGATTATTGTGAGATAATGTAATGTATGGGTATGTTTTATATATTTTAATCTTAAATATACTTACATTTTACTTTTATATATTTCTATGCATATATTTATATACAATATATTTTACATAAATAAAAAGCATATGAAATGGATATTTGCATTTTTATATTTTTATATTTTAAACATATATAATTAGATACAGATAATACATGTGTACACAAGCCACTCTATAGTACCCTAAGTCCTTTTTTTTTTTTTTTACTTTGTTTTGTTTTGTGTGTGTGCTGGTCCTGGGGCCTGGACTCAGGGCCTAGGTACTGTCCCCTGACATCAAGGCAAATGCTCTCCAGTTGAGCCCCTGGCAGTTGTTGGCAGTTAAATGGAGATGAGTTTCAGGAACTTCCCTGCATGGGCTGGCTTCGAACCACGATCCTTGGATCTCAGCCTCCTGAGAAGCTAAGATTACAAGCATGAGCCACGGGTGTTTGGTCTAATTCATCGTTTCTCTATTTTGATCTAATTAGAATAACTCGGCCTTCTGGCTGTGCATAGCATGAAAGTAGCAACATGAAACCAGCTGAAATTCAAGACTCTTAGGCAGCTACAAGCCCCGGAATTTCCTTGCTGAGGAAATTTACAAGAATCCTTTCAAGAAACCTGTTTCACCTCACCTAAGCCCAACCGGAGGGGGAAGGGTAATTAATACTGAAGCCAAGAACCTCCCTCATCCTGATTTGATGATTCTGCTGATGTGTATTCTTCCCTGGTAAGCACAGGGAGGTTCGAAGGTCGGGGCCGCCCCGGGGGGAAGCCACCCTGAGTTTAGCAATGGCATCTTCTCCGTTCCCAGGCCGCGCGGACGTCCCACCGAGCAGGTGCACGGTCCTTCCCGCCACCTTCACCTCGCCAGGCGCGGCCCGCCGGCCTCGCCGCCACCCGCAATGCCCCGCCGGTGCAGGCCGCCGACCCCGGGCTGTCCAGGTCCAGCCAGGCCTTCCCTCTGACCCCGGCGCCCGACCCCGAGGCCCCGGCGCGGCCGGTGAGCATGCCAAAGCGACAGGAGGTGTCGCCACCACAGCGGGCGGCCAGAGAAGCTAAACAAGCCACAGCCGGCCCCACCGAGGTCCGACCCCGGGAAGGGTCCGCCCACCTCCGCTCGGCCGGGCCCGGCCCACCCTCACCTCGGCCAGGGCCGGGTTCCTCTCCTGGGACTCTGCGGGCCAAGTGGCCCCACGAGGCCTACCGAGCTCTGCCAGTGCCCGCGCCCTCCAGCCCCGGCGAGCCCACCCGGGTCCAGCTCCGGGACGCAGGCCCCGGACACTCTGAGGAGCCTAGCACGGGAAGGGGCGGGGGGGTGGATCCCAGCTGAGGCCGCGGCACTACGGCTGCGCCAACCGGCGACGTCATACGTCAGAGCGCCTGCGCCTAAAGTGCGCCGCTGAGGTCCCGCCCAGAAACCCGCTAAGCCTCGCCCTCCAGCTCCCCGCCCTTCCCGGGTTGGAGGCGGAGCCTGGAGCGCCCGGCCAAGGCGAACAGCTGATTTGAAAACTTACTTGCTGCAATCACCTAAGTTAATGGTTTTCCAGATACAAGAGGAAACTGATAAAGCCCAGAAGGAAAAGGAGGCTAACAAAGAATAAAAAAATTAGTTAATTGTACGAGGTAAAATAAGTCTGGACAAAGTAGAGGGGAAACACCCTCTATCACCATCAATAAAGGGAGCTTGATGATGTGAAATGTTGACACACTGAATTTCTCAAAGAAGTCTTCTTCGTGATGCTCATCACCGTGGGGGGGGGGGGGGGGCGACTAGGCTGGGAATTGGGAATTGAACTCATAGACTGAATGCTGTCTCAGCTTTTTTGCTCAAGGCTGGCATTCACCACTTGAGCCTCCAATTCCAGGATTTTTGCTGGTTAATTGGAAATCAGACTCTCATAAACTTTTCTGCCCAGGTTGGCTTGGAACCGTGATCCCCAGATCTCAGTTAAGAGTAGTTAAGATTACAGGTGTGAGCCACCATGGCCACGCTATATAATTTTTTTATTTAAGTAGTTGTACAAAGGGGTTTCAACTCAGCACATCAGTGTATAAATAAAATGCCCTCTCTGAATCTAGTTCATCATACTCCTTGTGACCTTAAATAAACTTTTAATTTATTTTACGTCATTTCATTTTGGAAACCGTATGCAAATACAGTAACAAAAGACAAACCAGTGAATGGATCACCAGTGAGGAAATACAGCATGATAATAAAAGGTAACTCAGAACTGGGTGTGGGTGGCTCAAGCCTGAAATAGAAACTAAAAAGGCTGAGTATTCCAATTCAAAGCCAACCCAGACAGAAAAGCCTATGAGATTCTTATCTCCAGTTAACCAGCAAAATGCCAGACTGGAAGAATGGCTCAAGAGGTAGCTCATGAGCCTAGAGGGAAAAATCTAAGAGGGAGCTCAAAGCAATTCTGAGATCAATCCCTAATACTGGTACAAAAGAAAAAAAATGGAAAGAGGGTGAGTACAACTTAAGTCTAGGCTATGCCATCCTCTAGCTTTATCAAAGATATTACCAAAATAGATGAAGTAACCAGGTTTCTGAAGGAAAACCATAAGGAATCCAAAGGAGATGAAAGTTTCCGAGTAGAGCCATGTTCTCTAAGCAGAACAGAAAAAATGCAAATGTATCTGAAAAATGACCTTTCCCATATGGAGCAATTTATTGGTGAAAAGAGGGAATTTGGAGGAAGACAGATGTGTTTATGCATGTGTGTTGGTATTAAGGCTTGAACTCAAGGCTTAGGTGCTATCCTTTAGCTTTTTTACTCAAAGCTGGTGATCGCCACTTGAGCCACAGCTCCACTTCTAGCTTTTTGTTTGTTAATTGGAGGTATAGTCTCACAAAATTTTCTGGCTAAGCTGACTTTGAACCATGATTCTCAAGTCTCAGCCTCTTGAGTAGCTAAGATTACAGGCATGAATCACTGGCACCCAGCTGAAGATATATATTTTAAAGACAGAATTTGAGTCAGCTTATGTAAGCATAATCTATAACATTGATTCTATTTTTAACAAACATCCAAACTGAAACTAAAAATTGCCTAAGTTTGCTATCTTCCATCATTTAAGCTTATCATAATCAAAACTTCTTCACTGTATAAATAGCCAAGGAAAAATATGTATTTTTTGTTAGCTCAAATTATATTATTTCTGGAAATAAATCCGATTATTATTTTTTTCTTCTGTTCCAATCTGATTCAAATGTGGATATACTACCATTGAATTAGTAGAAAAAATTTTTAACAATAGAAATAAATATTTATAGCTATTCCTATGGCATATACTAAGCAAGGTCACAAATCAAAGTGTATTTTTGTTCAAATGAAATATTATAATCTATTCATTTGTTACTAGGTCTAATGTATAATTTTCTTAAACTCTAGTCATATTTTCACTCTCACAAACACCCACTGCAATAACATGTAACTGAATCATAGCCCCATTCATAAAACTATCATAGTAATTCATACAATAGCCCAAAATTTAGAAAATGATTTAGCTTGCTTGGTGTAAACTAGTCTCTGCCTAATATGGGACAAGGGCATTGGTAAGAGAATTGGGTCCGAAAAGGCCTTCTCTTTTGAGTTAAGAAGTATCAGACAGTCCAGGTACAGATGGCTCATGCATGTAATCCTAGCTACCCAGGAGGCTGAGATCTGAGGATTGTAGTTCAAAGCTAGCCTAGGAAGAAAAGTCTATGATACTGTAATCTTCATTTAATCAGCAAAACAAAATGGAAGTAGAGATGTTGCTCAAGTGATAGAGTGCCAGCCTTGAATAAAAATACACTCAAGCCCCAGTACTGGCATTAACAAAAAGAAGCTTAATACAGAGAAGCAGATGAGTAAAGAAAAAGAAAAAGAATGAGTAGATGAGTCATTAATTGTATATCATGCCTTCTTTCTTCAAAGATTCCTCCTTTCTTTGGTTGAAGACTTCTTGCAAAGATAAATAGCATGTTTTTAGTATTTTTGTTTTGTCTGAGGCTAGGTCTTGAACTCAGTATCCCAGGCTTGTTTTACTCATTGGCTGGCACTCCACAACCTTAGCCACACCTCCAACCCCAAGAATCTTTTTAATATTGGGGAAAAAACAAAGCTAAAATGATGATCCCAAACAAGGTAAAAATGAAAACAATAGACTTGGTAAGAGATTTCTCATGGAAGAACACCACAGACCAAGTGATAGGGATTCTGAAGAAGTCCTCACTTTGCAAATAGGAACCCATTACAAAATGAATTTTCTTTTAAAAGCAGTAAATAAATTTTATGAAAAAAGCAGCGAGCAGGCATTGCCTTAATAGATAATAAGAAAGAATTACGTTTATTGGTAAAGATAGATAGATAAAAATATAAATATAGATATGAGTCGGGGGCCAGTAGCTCACACTTGTAATCCTAGCTACTCAAGAGGCTGAGATCTGAGGATTGTGGTTCAGAGCTAGCCAGGCAGGAAGTCCGTGAGACTTTTATCTCCAGTTAACCACCAGAAAACTGGAAGTAGCTCTGTGGCTCAAGTGGTAGAGTTCTAATCTTGAGCTGAATTGCTCAGGGACAGCCCCCTGGCCCAGAGTTCAAGCCCCACAAGGAAAAAAAAAATTATGAAATGGGAGCAGGAACATATAAACAGGCCACTAAAACAAAATGGGTATTATGCATGTGTGTGTGTGTGTGTGTGTGTGTGTTTGTGTGTGTGTGTGTTGAAACTAGTATGTGAAACTCATATCTCATGACAGTGAAGAAATGAAAGCATCTGGGGCTGGGAAGGTGGCTCAGTGATAGACGGCTTGCCTTGCATGCATGAAGTCCTGGAATCGATTCCTCTGCACCACATAAGCAAAGAGGAAAAAAAACCGGAAGTGGTGCTGTGGCTCAAGTGGTAGAGCACTAGCCTTGAGATGAAGAGCTGAGGGACAGCGCCCAAGCCCAGAGTTCAGGCCCCACAACTGGACCCCACCCCACCCCCAAAAAAAGAAAGAAATGAAAGCATCTATTGCCAGAGTGTTAAGATAGTGAATCATTGGAAGGACACAACTGGGTCATTATGCCATTAAAAAAACAGGTATACAGGCTGGGAAGGTGGCTCAGTGGTAGAGCGCTTGCCTTGCATGCTCGAGGCCCTGGGTTCGATTCCTCAGCACCACATAAGCAAAAAGAAAAAAAAAGCCGGAAGTGGCGCTATGGCTCAAGTGGTAGAACGCTAACCTTGAGCTGAAGAGCTGAGGGATAGCACCCAGGCCCAGAGTTCAGGCCCCACGACCGGACCCCCAAAAAAAAAAAAAAAAAAAAAAAAAACAGGTATAGCAGGGGCTGGGAAGGTGGCTCAGTGGTAGAGCGCTTGCCTTGCATGCATGAGGCCCTGAAAAAGAAAAAAGCCAGAAGTGGTGCTGTGGCTCAAGTGGTAGAGCGCTAGCCTTGAGCTGAAGAGCTGAGGGACAGAGCCCAGGCCCAGAGTTCAGGCCCACGACCGGACCCAAAAACAAACAAACAAACAAAAAAACAGGTATAGCAACAAATAAGAGAGTTAGTGAAGGAAAATCGATTTCAGTACTTCCTTTTATGGACATAGGGCATAAAATGAACATATACTGGAGATTTTCCACGGAATAGGAGCAGAAATTGTTTTGTCTAAGAGAAATTCTGATAGAGGATTAGGAGAAAATGTGGGATAATATACTTGTTGGGCAAACGCTTTCTAAATAACATCCTAAAAACAAACTAGAAAATGAAAGGTGGATGCCAGCTACACCAAAACTAAGGCCAAACAAATCAATTTCTGCTCAGGAAAAGACAGCACAGGTAACACAAGTAGATCATTAGTAGAAAGGTAGCTGACTTAGAAAAGATAATTGCAATATCTAAAATGAACAAATTAGGAACAGGGATGTGGCTCTGTGGTACGTAGAGTACTAGGTTCAATACCAGGTGCCAGTGGACACCCACTGCCATGCCCACCCATTGGTTGAGACAGAGTCTTGAGTACATCTTTTTGCATGGGCTAGCCTCAAACTATTATCCCCTGATCTGCCTTGTGAGTAGCTAGGACTATAGGCTTGAGTCACTGACTGCACTAAAGTAGGAATATTCAATTCTTAAGCATATGAGTTTCATTGTTCATTTAATTAAAAACATTTTAATACTTTGAGGATACCTATTGCACTAAGGAAGAAAAGTATTTAATTTATAAAATGAATTTGGGAGCGGGGGGAAGGGAGGGAAGGCTGGGAAGGGATGTGAAGGGTAAACAAAGGAGGAGGCTGCAATGCTTGATAAGA